ACAACTAGACGCACATCAAGACAACTAGACACAAGAACAGTTTTTTCCCGAACACTATCACTCTGCTAAACAAATAATTCCCTCAACAGTGTCAAACTATTCACTAAGGCTGCATTACTATGACTATTAGTCTTCTCATTGTTCCTATCGCCCATCTCCTCCCACTTATGACTGCAGGACTGTAACTCTGTTACTTGTATCCTTATGATTTATATTGATATTGTTTCCTAATTGCTTATTTGTACCCTATGACTATCATAAAGTGTTGTACCTTATGATTCTTGACGAATGTATATTGTCTTCTTATGTACATATGCACCAAAGAGAAATCCCTTGTGTGTCCAATCACACTTGGACAATAAAGGATTCTATTCTATTCTACTCTTCTATTCTAGATGATTATAATTTGACAGAAACCCTCTTTGGTTCAAATTCTTCATGTTAATGGATATCCGGCTACTCTGAGTGAAAAACCATTGCCAGGATTTATATTTTGCCTGTTATTCTCTTAATTTATTCATAGAGAACCCTGGAACTTCATGTGTCCCACTCCTAAAACAGTTCAAAGACCGGCACAAGTGCTTTACACATCTACCATATTTTTCGGAGTATAAGACGCACCAAGGTTTTGAAGAGACAAATTAAAAAAAAAGTTTTTGCACTCTGCAAACCTCCCCAAAACGGCCCATTTTTTGTGAAAACAGGCCTGTTTCCCCCCCCCCCCAAAAGGGCATGAATAACCCTTAGGAGGATTATAGAGTGCTCCTGGGGGCTGCGGGGGGGGGGGGCAAAAGTGAGCAAAAAATGGCCCATTTTTCACTCATTTTTGCCCTCCCCGCCCCCAGCAGCTCTCTGAAAACCTTCTACAAGCTATGCATGGCCATTTTGGTGAAGGGGCAGGGTTTCAGGAGGCAAAAAAAATGCTGTATTCAGTGTGTAAGATGCACCCAGATTTTCAGCCTCTTTTTTGAGGGAAAAAGGTGTATTTTATACTTCGAAAAATACAATATTTGTGAGAGAAATGCAACAGACTTTCAGAACAAATGATTGTTTTCCCCCTCACAAGTTCATAATAGCAATCTTATTTTCCAAGTGTGGATTTCTGCACAATCTGCTTACAAGCAACAGTGGCACTGGTTCAGGTCATTCAGTCTGGAGAAGTATATATATATAAAAACATTAAAGAGGAAACCCTCCAAAAGGAAAGCTTGGGGTAGGATGAAAATTAGGAGAAAATGAAATAGGGTGTATTGAAGAGTGGGTATCTGAACACAAATTCTCTACATACAGTGCAACATTCTGTAGTAGTTGTGCTAAGAACATAGGAGTTGCACTGATATAAGGATACCGAGAATGTACAAACCTCCCCTTGAGAAACCTAAATAAATTCTATTAAATATAAGAGAAAAAATAAAGTCAGTTTTTTAAAAAGCTTCACAAAACATCCGATTCAAAACTCGTATTTACATGGCCCACTTACCAAATATGGGGCTTTGTCTGGAGCTGGCACCTTTCGCCAAAGCTTCATGATCTGCTTGCAACGGCTAGACCAGTCTGGAGGCAGAATGACAAGAATAAAATTGAAATGAAAGGGAAACTCTCATATGCCAAGGCCAGTTAATTTTGTCCAGGGAGTCTACAAAAACATTTTATCGTAAAGCCAGCGTAGGAGTCTACTTAGGGAAAGGTTCACTTTATTCCACTCAGCTAGCAGAATTCTAATCTTATTGCAACACACCTGCCTAGTTTCCCAGTCAGTATCTGCATGACCTCTGCTTATTCCATTCCTATATTTTTAAACAGTTTTGTTAAACGCATCTCAGAAAACGAAAACAGTCAACCCAAGAATGCTACAGGATAAAGCATCGCCTCATCATTGGGCATACTCAGCAACATCTAGAGAACGTTGGTCTTACCTGAACATATCTTTTAAGAGGAAGGGAGGGAGTGGTCATTTGTGGGTATTCTCAAAGCCTGATTGGTCCAAAGACTGAGAGAAAACTCTTAAATACTGGTGCCTTCCAATCCCGGCCCAGTTTCCTCGAAGGCGAACGGTAGAACTGAAACAACAAAACAACAACACCATCCCCCCCCCCCAACCGGGAACCACCCAGGTCCTCCCCTGGGCCCCAACAAGGAAACCTCAGGACGGGTTGTGACCACTCCCTCCCTTTCTCTTAAAAGACACGTTCAGGTAAGACCAACATTCTTTTTCCAGAGGAAGGGAGGGAGTGGTCACGTGTGGGACATACCGAAGCTTCTAGTCCCAGGGAGGGAGAACAATAGACCCCTAAGGCCCAAGGCGAGCATCAGCCGCCACCCTCTGCAAGACCCTCCGACCAAAGGACGCGTCTGCCGAAGCAAAGGCATCCAGGCGATAATGTTGGATGAAAGACATCGGAGAAGCCCAAGTGGCCGCCCGACAAATGTCCTCAAAAGGTGCTCTCGTGGCCCATGCCGCCGTGGTCGCAGCACTTCTAGTAGAGTGGGCCGTAATGCCCGACGGGGCCAGACGACCAGCCGCTCCATAGGCCTCCGCAATGGCCTGACGCAGCCAATGGCCAATGGTGGCCGAAGACACCCTAGACCCTAACGTTCCCGGCTGGAACAAAACAAACAAGGCCTCCGACCTATGGACCCCCTTGGTCCGCTGGAGGTAGATCCGCAGAGAGCGGCGCACGCCCAACTGATGCCAGAGCCTCTCCCTATCATTGGACGGGCCCGGGCAAAAGTCGGGCAGGACGATCTCCTGAGCCCTATGAAAAGGAGTGTTCATCTTCAGGATGAAGGTAGGATCAAGGCGAAGCACCACCCTGTCCTGGTGAAAATGGCAAAGGTCGTCCCTGGAAGACAGGGCTTCCAGTTCCAAAATACGTCGGGCGAAGGTAACCGCCACCAGGAAAGCCACTTTCAGAGACAAGAACCGAAGATGAACAGACCGGAGAGGTTCGAAAGGGGCCCCCGTCAAAGCCCTGAGAACCAGGGGAAGATCCCATGTGGGGAACCTGTGGACAGGGTGAGGCCTAAGATTAGCCACCCCCTTCAGAAAACGCTTGATCAGGGGAACATGGGAGAGGGAAGAAGACCCCACACCCCCTAGGACCAAAGACAAAGCCACCACCTGGCAGCGCAACGTATTCTACGAAAGCCCGTCGTCAAGGCCCTTCTGCAGGAAATCCAAGACCTTGGGAATAGTGGCCCTGTCGGGAGAGATGCCAAGAGGAGAACACCACAGGACAAAGGCCGCCCAGGTGGAATTGTAGATGCGGGTCGTTGATGGACGCCGAGACACCTCGATGGTACGAATGAACCCGGAGGACAGGTTATCCCCCCTCAGTAGCCGCCGTTCAAGAGCCAGGCAGTCAAATGGAGCCACTGGGGCTCCGGGTGAAGCAGGACCCCCTGCTGCAAGACCACCTCCTCCATGGAATCCTCCACGGAGGGGCCACCTACAGCTGAACTAGGTCTGCGAACCAAGGCCTCCTGGGCCAATAAGGGGCCACCACAATGACCAAGGCTTTCTCCACCACCACCTTTGTGATGGTCCCCGGAACGAGGGGGGTGGGAGGAAATGCATACAGAAGGCCTGAGGCCCACCTGCTCCTGAGGGCGTCCGTGCCCTCCGCAGACCTGGGCTGGAAATGGGTGAAAAACCGGGGAAGTTGTGAATTTGCGGGCGAGGCGAACAGATCCACCAGAGGAGTGCCGAACCTCTAACAGATCCTCCGAAACAACGATGGATGGAGTTGCCACTCGCCATTGTCCAGAGTCGCCTGACTCAGCCAATGCGCCTGGACGTTGGAGAGCCCAGATATGTGCTCCGACACCAAGAACAACAGGTGCCTCTCCACCCAGCTTCAGAGCCTCTAGCCAGAGAGCCCCAGAGTGGGTCCCCCCTTGACAACTGATGTGGGCCTTGGTGGCCACATTGTCCGTCAGGAGGAGCACATGACACCCCTCCACCGAGGCCTGAAAGTGTCGCAGAGCCAGGCGGGCCGCCTTCAGCTCCAACCAATTTATGTTGTGGTGGAGATCCGAGGCCGTCCACCTGTCCTGAGCCATCCGGGAACCCACCAGGGCCCCCCACCCGAACAGACTCGCATCCGTGGTGACGGTCACCCTGTCCAGCTCCCAGAAGCAGCAACCCCACTGAATGGCCAGGGAAAACCACCACCCCAGCAAGGCCCGGACTCCCACCAGGAGGCGGAGAGTGCGAAGAGAATTGCTCAATCGCCCCCTCTGAAAGGGGATGAGCTCCCACTGGAGAGGCCGAAGGTGAAGTCTGGCCCACGGGACAATCCCAATGCAAGAGACCATCCTGCCCAATAACTGTGACAGAGTGAGGATTGAAACTAACCGACTTCCACGAACGCTTTCTGCCAGTTGACGTAGGCTGCTCTGGCGCTCCTGGGACAGACACACCACCCCCGACACGGAGTCTATGACTGTCCCTAGGTGAAGAAGTGCGTGGAGGGGGAAAGGTGGCTCTTGGGGAAGTTCACCGAAAAACCTAGGCTCTGAAGACTCCAGATGGTGAGTTGAAGGTCCGAAATGGCCTGAGGAAAAGACCCCGCCTGAACTAAGACATCATCTAAATAACATTGGAGCTGTACCGGGATGGAGCACAGATGAGCCGCCAAGCCCTTTGTGAAGGTCCGTGGGGCCGAGGCCAGCCCGAAGGGAAGAGCTCTGTATTGGTAGTGGTGTTCCCCATGCGAGAACCTCAGGAACCTGCGATGACCGGGTAGAATAGGGATGTGAAGATAGGCCTCCATGAGGTCCACAGAAGCCAAGAAGTTCCCTTTCCTTATGCCCTGAAGGATAGATTTGAGGGAGGACATTTTGAACCGCCTGTACACCAGGAAACGGTTCAGGTGCTTGAGGTCCAGAATCGCCCTCCAGCCCCCCGAGCTCTTCGGAACCACGAACAGGTTGGAGTAGTGGTCCAGGCCCCGTTCCTCTAGAGGAACTGCCTCCATCGCCTGAATGTCGAGAAGGTGGGCGATAGCCTGATCCATCAGGCAGCGGTGCTCCAGATTCCGGGACGGAGGGAACGACCTGAAGAGATTCGGCGGGGTGGAGAGAAATTCTAACCTGAGACCGTGACAAACCGTGGCTCGGACCCAATCGTCCGACGTGATCTCGTCCCATTGATCCGCATAGAGGGAAAGGCGGCTGCCGATGGGACGACTCGGGTTCAAGTCACTTCCCCCTGCGGTAGGGACGGACGCCTCCTCCACGAAAGGGCCATCTGGACTGGTGCTGGAAACGGTTTCTGTCCTGAAAGGACGACCTGGGAAACTGCCTGTCAGAGTGGAAGGAAGAAAAATGCTGGTTATAGTTGTAATCTGTAGCCCTATACTGCTGCCTACAGTAAGGATGATACCTAGCCTCGGGCTTCTTAGCGTTAGATGGCAGAACTTTCTTTTTTTCTTTATTATCGACCAGAATGGGGTTGAGGGCCTCCCCAAAAAGATTAGGCCCCTTGAACGGAGCGGCTACCAAATTCCACTTGGCCTTGTTATCCATCTTCCAGTGGCGCAGCCATAAGAGCCTGCGAGACGTGACAGAAGTGGCCAAAGCACAGGATGCAAACTTACCATGTCCAGGGTCGCATCAGCGGAAAACTGGGAGGCCGCCATGATCTTGATTAGATCCTGGTGGAGCCGCTCATCCTGGATGGAAATGTGCTCCTGGAGCTGCTTAAGCCACATGACCGTGGCCCGGTTGAAATAGGAGGCCGAGGCCACAGACTTGATAGCCCATGCAGTGGCATTAAATTTCTTTCTCAAGGTAAGCTCAGTGCACTTATCCTCCAGCTTCAATTTATCTGCCGCGTTGCCCGATACCACCGGAGAGGAGGAGACCAGGGCGGCCACCGGAGTGTCAATGGCTGGTAACTGAATGTACTGAGCAAAGGTCTGCTCCACATTATAGTGCTGGCGGTCATTACTCCCAGGAGTCGAGAAATTGGAGGGACGCACCCACTGGTTGGTCAGTATCTCCATAAACAAGGGAGGAGCCGGAATCTTCTCCTTGTTTGTGGCCGTGGCAGAAAGCATGGCCATGTCAGGATCCCTAGATGGAGGCACCGAAGGGTCCCCAGTCCCCACCTTGGTGGTTTTCCTAGCCTTGCCCAAGAGAATCCTGAACATGGCTACGACAAAGAGGCCTGAAGAAGAGGGCTCATCTGAGGAGGCAGCATCCTTGTCCTCCGAGAAACCCATGTCCTGGAGATTTTCCTCCTCCATGACCGAGGCTTCGCTAACCATAGAAGGAGAGGAAGCACGATACTGGGTCCGGCCCAGACCCCCATGTCTGGAAGAAAAAGAGCTCTTATCCCGCTGGGCAATGCCACACGAAATGGCTGCAGAAATAAGTCTTTTAATACCTTCAGGGAGTCGATCCAAATCCTCTATATCGCCGTAAGCAGAACTAGGCCCCTGGGGAGCCAACCTGCGCGAAGTGCAGGGTCCCCTAGACGTACCCTCCAAAGGATCACCTGAGGGAGAGGGGGATCCCCTCCTCCTGGAATAGGCATGAGGCCTGTCGGGAGAGACCGAGGGAGAAGAAGGGCTAAACCCCCTAGGGGAAGAACAGCTAGAAATAGGCCCGAGAGAAGATCGAGACCTGTCTTGGGATGAGGGCCCGGCTGACTTGGCCTGCCTCTCTGCCCTTGCAAATGTTTTTTCAATTGCCCCGTGCCGCCTGGCCTCCTCCCTGATGGAGGACCTAGATGGGCGCTGGGCAGCCAAAGAACCCGGGGTGGGGGGAACCCTTGTCCCATCCCCTGCTCAAGGTCCTCTCCATTCCTGATCGGGCCCATCACCTGGCCCTGGGGAATCTCCGCACCCTCTTCCATAGCCTACTCAAGTGCCAGCCGCTTAAATAAGGGTTCCAAGGCTCTGTAGGCCCCACCGGGACCTGGGTCTGTTGTCTGCTGTGAAAGGATGAGGCCTGAGCTGTCGCAGATCGAAGCGCGCTCCTCGCGCACGTGGCGGCAATTCAAAATGGCCACCAGAAGCCTCTGCACAAGCCTGGTGGCCGAAATTACACTCAGCGTCTCAGCCGGGCTTCTAAACACCCGTGCCGCTGCCAGCAACGTCAGGGGAGGCCACACGGCGCCCAGGCTCGCACCTCCCTCCCCCAAAAGCCACGCACAGTTCACAAAGGCTGCTAGGAGCTCGAAAACCGCTCCTAGCGATCACTGGCACCGCGAACGGCTCGTGTGCACCTTGTGGTGCCACCACTGCTTTCCGCAATCAAAATAGCAAGCGAAGTTGCCAATTCAGCAGCTGAGAGAGGATCTGGCAGCCCCGCAATCCTGCGGATAGGGCTGAGGCTCCGGGCCGAGGCAGAAAACTGTCCCTTGGGGCCACAGCTGTACAATTTAGAATTTAGGGGGAAACTTTTAAAGTGCCCAATTAAACCAAATGAGAAATCAGATTGAAACAAATAGAAATCCTACCAGGAATATTCTCACAGTACTTGGACCAAGAAAGACTGAGAGGAAACTGGGCCAAGATTGGAAGGCACCAGTATTTAAAAGTTTGCTCTCAGTCTTTGGACCAATCAGGCTTTGCGAATACCCACACGTGACCACTCCCTCCCTTCTTATGGTAAACAATAGATTCTGTATCCTGCTACAAGCAGATAATAGACTGCCAATTTTTCTCAATCAGTGGCTTCTAGGTGTGTTGGATTTTTAACTCATAATGGTACTAAAAGCTCCACATCTCTGGAAAGCAACAGATGAGAGAAGAATGCCTAAGAAAATACAATGCAAAACACAAATCAGGGTTTAGAACCGCCATCTCTTTGGAGCAATCACAAAGATAACACAAGGCTTCAAGCCATGACTCAAACAGTAGAATTTGTTTCACAGATTACGAGAAGCACTAGCATTGTGCATGAAATGGGAAATCTCCTGCTTTAAACCTGGAAACCGATGTTGCATCAACTGAAACCCAGAACACTTTGATTATTTCAGATTTTTAGAAAAACCAAATCTGAACAGGACTAGATTGCTGCATGTCACACAGCTGCTGCCCACTCCACTACTCCAGGTCTGCCTTATTGAGCTTTCTTGAGCCCTCCCTCAGCTGCTATCACCAATATCCCAGAACACCATAGCCCACAGGCCTACGACCTCCCCAATCTTCCCAGCACGTTCCCTATCCTCCTTCCCTACCCCTGAGTCTGCACAGCCATCAAGGCTTCTTCCCAAACCTCACTGCTCCTTCAACCATTTCTGAAAAAATATCCATAACCAGCTCTTCTGAGCACATTGCTACAAATAACCATGGACAACTCCTAGGCCTGGCTTTTTAACCACTGGGATAAAACTAAGATGGAATAGTGTCTGGACAGTCTCCTTCATAAATAACCACATTGCGGAGAACTCGGTATTCATGAAAAATACTCTGAGACCAACACCATCATTAATTCTAAAGTTGCTCACAGATCATCTCCTACAGATCTGCTTAATAGAAAATATATAGACAGTAACTGGGAAAGTGAGGAAACAAATTTGGGATACGATGAACTAAGCAGAGATTTATTTTCCATCTGATATATTATCACATGAAACTGGTTCAATCAAGGATTTCTTTCGTGACAACATTAATAGTTCCATATGTAAGCTAGGAGAACATAGAGCTTAAAGACAGCTGATTCAGACTGACAAACATAGATCTGTGGCTGGTCATGAATTTTGGGAGTTCAAGTCCATAGGTTGTAAATGGGCCATAACACAATTGAATGAAATGCATTAGCATTTGGCAACAGCGGGTCACACAATGATAATACACAACAATAATACCGATAATGGAAGCAGAGGACTCCCAAAGTAAGGATATGGCATTGTAATGCTCTTCAGATTCATTTGATCCTAGCGGCATTACTTGGATTCTTTGAATCCCACAATATTTGGTTTCTTGAAGAAGATGATTGGGATTCTTGAGCCGCTGACTTCTGTTGCACAGCAGGCCCACCGCAAAAAGGGAAGCATATTGTTTCCATCTCCACAGATCTGACTGAGAGGTCATTAAAAGGACCTCAAACACAAAGGAAGAAAGGGGAGAAAGATAAGTAACTAACCTGGGTAATCCTGCTTCAGGCTGGGGAAATTCATGTTGGCATAAAGGACAGGTGAAATGGTGGAAAGCTCTCCCAGTTCTTCATCCTTCTCCCAACGTTGCAAGCTCCGCTGGTTATACGAGAGTCCGTCACTTTCCCCCTCTGTGGTGGGAGTAGTTGGTGTGGAAGCTGCAGAGCTGCTGGCCCAAGGACTCTCTGGTTCACACTGCTCAGGGCTGAAGAAGCCACTCCTCTCCCTACACGGAGGTAAGGGAAGACAAGAAAACACATTCACAGTAGGGTGTAATGGGGGGAACTGTCAAGGAAGGAGGCTGGGCTGAGCCCAGCTGTACAGGTAGGTGACTTACTTATTATCAAGGAATGGGGACTGGCAAACTCCAGAATAAGTCTCCATGGGCACAGCAGGCTGCAGGGGCCCAAGAGATGTACCACCACCTATAAATGAGTTGAGACATTGCAGAAATGGAATCAAAAAGCGCTCGCATACATAAAGCACCATCCAGATATTCTGGCGGATATCACCTAAAGCAAGAAGGTGTGAGCTTGAGAAGGTGAGGTCTGAAGTAATCTTAAAAAGTCCAAAAAATACATGAGTGTGCAGAAATGGGCGAACCCACATTAAAGGGGTTAAAGGGAAATGATGGTTCGGAATGCTATGCGGTATGGGAGAAATGGTATGAATGGATAGACAATAGAAATAAGAAATGGAAATGTACATAGGGTGAGAACGTTTGGAAATAGAAAGCATATAATGTATTCAATATTGATTCCAGTTGTATGGATAATGTCACAGATCTGTTAAACGTGTGATAGAGATATGTATGGAAAAAACGTGCAATAAAAATATTTATTTTTAAAAAGTTAAAAGTTAATGGATCAAGGGTAAAAGAAGACATAAATATGTACTGTGTACAAAATAGATAATGGCTTTTTGTTTTTATTAAGGGGGAAGTATATCTATTTGGCCAACTGTCCCAGTGAGCACTTATCAGCCAGTATTAATGCACTGATTTTCTGATTGAGTTCTAGCGAAGCACAAGGGATTTAGCCATGATCTAATCCAAACATAGGTACCCTTTTTTTAATTGTAGAAAAGCCAAAGTATCTCATTCTGGTAAAGAATCTGCGGAATGCCCCATCTCAGTATTCACAGCTCACCTTGAAGAAAAGGCCTTTGGGCCAGCTGGGAGCAGTTTGGATCACGCAGGCCTCTGGCCTCAGCATCCACCCCAACAGAATTAAGCTGCTGTTCTCGTTCAGCAGAACCCAGGACATCTTTGAAGAGCTGCTGAACATCCTTGCTCTCCATTTTCGGCAACTCTGTTTAAAAAGGGGGGGGGGGGAAGTCCAGATGAAATCACAAGTCCGCGAAGTCAATTTGGAGCAAGCTCAGTAATGTAGGGAATCTGAGAGTCTCCCATAACAGCAGGCTGAATTACAAGGGAAGTGAGACATGAATGGGGAATGAGGAGAGCCAAAAACAAGAAACATGGGAAACGAGAACACCTGAGACCGATTTTTTTAAGCCTTTCGCTAGCAGTCAGAAGGGAAGCCAGGAGAGAAACCTAGCTTTCCTTCTTGGCTGCTCTCCACAGAGCAGACACTTGGCAGGGGGATGGGGACAGTAGGGTCTTGTTCAAAGACCCGCCTGACCTTCAGTGGGGATTTTGTCAAGGTCGGAGCTGAGCACCCCCTCCCCCGGGGGTGTGGCTGGGTTCTCGGCACCTGTAGGTTCTGGAGAGGTCTTGGGCACCATCTGCTCTTCTGTCCCTGTAGAGAGCAAGCATACCATGTCAATCAGCACACGGCATCACTTACAGTACGAAGTGGCCAGACTGTGGGCAAGAGGTCTAACCTCTGTGCCTTGGAAGGATGGCTTACTCCTTAAAAGGAAAGGTTAAGCCCCCTCCCTTAGCTGGCTGCATTCTTATGGAAACAAGGTGAGTTTGTCCAAGAGGCGTATCCCAAATCTCCTATAGCTAGCTAGGTATTTAGAAAGCAAGGCTTTTAGAAGGAATGACTCTGGGCATCTAGAAAGACAGCCAGGGTCACTTTGGACGTGGAAACAGGCAGCATGTAAATTTAATAAATAAAAATGGCTCTTTAGATTAAAAAAAAAATACTACAGTAAACGTCTATGGAGATTCTCAGTCATCCAGGTCATGGTTGTCACAAAAATGCTTTTTCAAGAAGCAACTGGATTTTCTGTTTTTTCTTTGAACAGGTTTCGCTTCTCATCCAAGAGGCTTCTTCAGCTCTGACAGGATGGTGGGAAATGAAAGAATTTATATTCTTTGCAGACAGCTGGTCATTTACATTCGTTTAGAGCAGGCATGTCAAACTGGGGTGGGGGGACCACACCCATGCCAGCTCCACGAAGGGGGGAAAACATCATATCACCATACGTCACATGACAGCAACATGACACCACAAATTTGGAGATAGATGGTGTCGTATCCTTCCCCCTCTGTTTAAAGATAGCAAAGTCCACATTTTGGATAGAGAGGACTGCTGGTTTGAAAGAGGGGTCAAAGAGACCATCTATGTCAAAATTGGACAGCCCTCCCTCAACAGAGGGGGAAGGATACAACATCATCTATCTCCAGTCTACTACACAGTCCTTTCAACAGCTCCAAAAAGGCTCCACAACTATTTGCACCACTCAGGTGTCCCTGAGGACACAGATAAACCCCCAGGTGACCATAACGACCAGCTAAAAGGATGCAAATGACCAGCTGTCTGCAAGGAGTAAAAATCCTTCCCTTCCTCACCATTCAGTCAGAGCTGAAGAAGCTTCTTGGATGAAAAGTGAAAACATTTTCAAAGAAAACCCAGAAAATCCTGTTGATAAAAGCCCTCTGGTACTTGAGTAAATGTTTATATCAGGTGTTCTACAGTAGGGCTACCCCAGGTGTTGCATTTGTGTGTCTTTTTTTTCCCCTTTCACCCTCAGCTGAATATTCTGTTCAATGGAACTTGAAAGACACCTGCATCTCTCCGCAGTAGAGGGAAGACAAAGACTAAACATAAAGAACAGGGACCAGTGACTGTAATGACAAGGAATGCTTTTTGCTACCTTGTCTCAGAAGGCTGGCTACAGCTACCCTTAGAAAGGAGTTAGCTGAACTACAGATCTGTGCACTGGCAAGACTTAAATTATAAATCTTGATGCCTGCTTCCTATGCCACCATAGACTGCTTTGATGCTCCCTCTAGTTACTGTAGATGAAGGGACCCCAAACCCCCCACCCCCACTCCGTGGACTGGCAGCGGTGTGCAACATGCCAGAAACCAGGCCGCACAAACAAGTGAAGCCCCATCTGCAGGATGCCTGCACCACACAAAACCCCTCCAGTCCATGGAAAAATCTTTCTCCATGAAACCAGTCCCTGCTGCCCCAAAGGTTGGGGGCTGCTGAGGTTGATAGTGCAAATGTTACAATAAAGTTCTTGTGTTTTACGTTTAGGCACTGACAACTAATACTATTGCTGAAAAATGTACATTGGATGCTAAACTCCCACCGGGGCTGGTTTAAGAGTTTTGATGGTAATAATTGTGATAGGAAAAAATTCTTAAAAAGAATGGCCCAGCCGCTATGAATACCTATTACCTCAGAAATAAAACAAGCGCTATTCATTATAATTCAGATACTTGCTGGGGAGAGGTTTTTTTAAAATCTTTCTTAAGCATTTTAGTGGGTGTTGGCTTATATGGACAATGTGATTTTATCGTTCAGCACTGCAGAGATGTTAGGCATTATTTATCCTTTCAAAAGGAACAGTTATGCCTTCCCCCTTAATCATCGGCCAAACCTTTTATAGAAAATGGCCTCCTAGTTGGATTTCTTGACAAAGTGACACTCATTGTGACCATCCTGTAGCCACCCTTAAAAGCTTCCATCTTATTAAAATCTTATTCACTAGCAGACAAAGTGGGAGCCTCTCATTCCATTCCCAAGCCCTTGGGACAAACTGTCAGGAAGGAGCAGGAGCAGCAACAACCAATCAATTTTCTTTCATCTTACATGTCAAAGAAATCCATTTTGTGCTATCTTTCCATTAATGGGAGCCAATGCTGCTGCTACAACTAACAAGCACCAACTGTATGAGCTACAACTGTACTCACAAACTTTCAAGTATAACTACAACAGGTATTGGATGCAAGTAAGACTATAAGGAACTATTCTATGTCCTAAGCATCTTGAGTGCATGTCAATATATTCTATAATTGGTGAGCTGCAGGCTTTTAAGCTGTAATGTTTGATTGCAAACTAATCTCTAGATTTGACAACTTAGCTTCCATAGAAGAGAATGTCCGTGCTTGGGGGTAAAACGGGTTTTGAAAATTCTAGTGGCCTAGATGTGCCCCAACTAACTACCCCCATACTAACCTCTAGCAAGGGATGCCACATGTGGCACCAGTATGACTAAGACCGGTAATCTAAACTTCACAGAATTACTAAAAAGTGTTATTCGAAAACTCTAATAGATCAAAATCACAATAGGAAGGAGTGATCAATACATATAGGTCCGTCTACCGATTTCCATAATATAAGAAAACTGCCATTTAGAATGGAACAGGAATAAAGAACAGGAAAAAAGATTAATTGAAAAAAAGAGAAAAAAGATATGCTATGTTTTGGTGAAATTAGCTGAAAAGGAAAGTAGGTAACAGATCAGAATAAAAGTAATCTGATCCTGAATAGCAGAGCTGATGAAAAAACAAGCAAATTGTGGTTGGATGGATTTGATGAGTTCTACAACAAGAAAGAGCTAAGACATTTATAAAGAACAAACAACAATATGTTCCATGGTGTTTAGAAGTAAACTAATTTTAGCTGTGTTTTTCTGTCTTCTTATGTCTTCAGATTTTTCGGTTTACTAATTCTTAACTGATTTTTGCGCACATCACATAAAACTTTCCCAGTTCCCCAAAAGAAAGACGTTTGGGTATGTAGCTATAAGAAATTGTGTAGATTAATATGCAGCAAATATGTTCAAGGCAATAGAAACAATCACTTCAAGTATTCTAGAGCACCATGCTATGATACATAGGTGGAGTGTTATCCCCCCCCCCAAAGTAACATGGAAATATATCCTGAGGACCAAAAGCCTCCTATGTGGTTTTAAAAATCCTGATACTCACCAGTATTCTCAGTCTTGGCATCAGCTGCTTTCAAGTTGCTTTCAGGAGCTGCTGCTTCCCTGCTACTAAGGCATTCATCCCCTAGAGATGGGAAGACAGGAAGCTGATCTGTTAGGACAGACAGCTAAATGTCCTAATACTGGCTCTAAAAAGGATTCCCGGCTTCTGAGGGTCAACTATTTATTTCTGCACGGAATAAATTTCACTTCATAGCTTGCCTCCACCTACGAGCCTGAGGACATTTTATTTGGCCAATGCTTCTTCAAAATCAAATGAATTTTTTTTTCTAAATTCCCAAGCAAATGTATTTAGAATATAAACATTTTGCCCTTCCTTCCTTCCCTTCCTCCTTCCCTCAGGAGCCAAATCAAAATCCCCAAATCCCACCATTTCTACCTCCTCTAATCCCGCTATTTCTCCTCAGCCTTTCACTTACCTTTGGGCTGAACTGGAGCTGCCTTTCCATCCTCTGGCCCTTTTTGGAGCCTGCTGGAATCCACCTTGGGCCTGGGAGCTCCCTGACCGACGGGAGGATGGGCAGTTCCATCTCCACCCACACCACCAGCAGCCAACAGAGCCTGTCTACTCAGGTCTAGGAGTGCTTTGCCAAAAAATGCTTCCTGTCAAAGAGGATGAAGAAAGGGGGGGGACAGACATGATAAAGGCCCAGATGAATGAATGAACGAATTTCTGGCAACTCCCTCGTTCCAAGTGCATGGGGTAGTGATGAAATTCAATTTTTTCTTTACTACCGATTCTGCGGGTGTGGCTTGGTGGGTGTGGCAGGAGAAGGATACTGCAAAATCTCAATTCCCTCCCCACTCCAGGGGCCATCCAGAGCTGGTATTTGCCGGTTCTCCAAACTACTCAAAATTTCCACTACCGGTTCTCCAGAACCTGTCAGAACCTGCTGAATTTCATCCCGGGTATGGGGGCTATTGCTTTAACTAACAATATACATAGAATCATAGGGCTGGAAGGGACCTTGGAGGTCTTCTAGTTTAACTCCCTATCCAGGGCAGGAGTCCTTATATCATCCCAGATAAATGAATGTCTAATCTTTTCTTGAAAACCTCCAGGATGGAGTACCCACAACTCTAGGAGACAGTTAAGAACAATTCATCTCTGTCCCATAGATTAATTGTTCTCAACTGTCAGGAAATTTCTCCTTAGTTCTAGGTAGGATCTCTCTTTGAGGAGCTTTCACCTATTGCTTTGCTGTCCTGCCCTGAGGTGCTTTGCAGAATAAGTCTGTATCTCTCCCTTCATCTCTGTGATTGCCCCTCAAGTACCCGAAGACAGCTATCATGTCACCATTTAAGCCTTCTCTTCATATGCTAAACATACTTAGCTCTCTTAGGCATACATCATACAATTTAGCCTCCAGACTCCTTATCATCGCTGTTGCCATTCTCTGCAGTCTTCCTAGGGCCTCAGTATCTTTTTTTATCATGGCAAGTAGAACTGGACACAGTATTCCAAGTGTGGCTTCATTAGTGCAGTATAGAGCAGTACTAACACTTCACACGGTCCTGACTGTATCCCTCTATTGATGCAGCCCAGGAGTGTGTTGGCTTTTTTGGCAGCTGCAGAAGTGGTGATCCACCAGGACACCTAGATCTCTTTCACAGGCACGATTGTCGAGTCGGGTACTGCCTATCCTGCGCCTGTGCATCTGGTTTTTCCTGCCATCTTCGGAGCTATCCAACCCCACCCCCACAGATTTCATTTTTAATAGTCCATGTAGAGATTTACTTTTTTTTTACTTGCAACAGCATCATTGTTTCTCCCACCTTGATCCATGAGATCCACATCCCTTTTCTCTGCCCTTCCTCAATGCTACTGAAACAAGAACTGGACTCATGGAAACTTGGTAATCCTTGCCCAGAGACATTTATTCCCCACTAAGCTAGCCCTCACCTGGGCTTGCTTTTCTCAGGTGCGTGGGACTAAATCTCACATTATCAACAGCTAAACCAAGCATTTGGGTAACAAGGTTCTGAATCCCAACAGAAATGGGAGGTTGGGAAGCACTACACTAAAACACTTACCTGAAGATAGGCAGGGAACATGTCTTCTAGCTTGCTCTTCTTCCGACCCCGCCGTTTCTTCTTTTCATCAGCTTCAGCCACTCCCTGTTCAGCCAAGGTCTCAGCAGGGTTTTCAGCAGGTGGGTTAGGTTGCACCCCTGATAAAGAGAGAAAATTGAATTTAGCATGGCCCTGTATGAATTAACCAAGGCTAGGAATGTAAAGTCATTTGCTGACTTTGCTGCTGTAACTTTCAGGGTCAGCAGCAAGTTAGGAAAGGAAAGGAGAGGATGTACATAGGACACTGATGATTACTGCTCCTTAATAATCTTTCTCCCAGCAGCAAGTTCTGGGGGCAAGAAATCTCATCCACTGAGATCAAAAGTCACAGATGATAATCATTCAGCCTAACAACATCTGGAGGCCAAAGGTTCCCTCTTCCTGCTTTAGATTCCATCATTTATTTTTCTCCTAGTTGTTGACACTCCTTTCTGTCTCTGTCTCTCTCACCCTTTCTCCCTCTCTCTCCCCCCCACCCCATTCCAAATTTGAGAATGCAAGTCTGTAAGTCAGAATATGCACTGCAATTTAAAGGAAAAACTTTAAACGGAACACTGATGGAAATGACTCACCCAACAAACTGAGGCATGAGTTCCTTGGTGCTCTCTGAGCTTGTCTCGTTGTACTTGAAGACATTTCATTACCCAACTAGGTAACATCATCAGTCCCAAAAGACCCTTGCTGGAAACCCTTGCTCTACAATTCAATCCTGAACTACAAATAATCTCTTCTACTGTATCTGAGAAGTGGCAATCCTCTTTCTTTTTTAAAAAAAAAAAGATTATGGCCATTTGGGGAGTTTTAAGAGCCTTCCCAGATTTGCAACCTTACACATTTATTCAAACTATTAGGATGAAGCAAAGGGGAAATACAACTACAAGTAAGTAGCACTTACCTTCTTCCGGTTGCCCTTCTGTAGTGGTCAGCTCCCGAGAGACTTCGGCCAAGACTAGTGAGCCCTTTTTCAAGCGTGTGTGTGATTTCCGCTGTCGCACCATAAAACCTCCAATACCTATTCCAAGGCAGAGGAGAAACAAGCCAAGAGCTAGAAAATGGATCGGTGTGGGAAGAATACAGGCTTTTGGGTGGGTGGCCAAAGGGAGGAGCACTTACCCGGGCGATAGGGCTTCCTTTTCCGCTTCTTGACCTCCTCAGAGTCTTCCAGAAGGCCTTTTGCCGCTTCAGCCTCAGCTGCAGCTTCCCTTTCCGGAGTCGGCGGGGCTTCCAATTTGATCTCACACTCCATGTGTTCAACGCTAACTGCAATGGGAGCAAAAACAAAAACAAGCCGTTCCAAGTCTCCCATTGATAGGGAAAGGTATGCAATTTGTTTAAAAATAAAAATAAAAACCACATAAATTTACAGATAGGTGGTCCTCAGTTAATGACCACTCAGTCAGTGTTCATCTTACAAGAGCGCTAAACAAGGGATGGTTACGGCTCGTCCACAAGGCTCTGGCCATCCCAGCCCCATCAGTCATGTAATCAAGATCTGGCTGCTGGGCAACCAGCTTGCACTTATGACGCTGTGGCATCCTACGGTCACAGGATGGCAATTTGCAATCTTCCCCATCAGCTTCCCTCAAGCAAAATCAATGGGGAAGCAGGCACAGAAGGTTGCAAGTTGCTTGGGTAAGTCTCTCTCCCGCTCCCCCAGGCCCTCTTTGCTCGTGCCAGACCACACCAGCTACCCGCACATCCTGGTACACAACTATCCTTTACACACATGAGGCCTGCTGAATGGCAGTCTACAAAATGAGGTTTTGTAATGATGAGAGTATGCATGTGCACTCATAGCTACCGTATTTTTCAGACTATAAGATGCACCGGTGTATAAGACGCACCAAGATTTCGAAGAGGTAAATAAGAAAAAAAAGTGGGGTTGTCCTCCCTGGCCCCCAGGAGCACTCTGCAAGCTTCAGTAGGGCTGGGGGAAGGCAAAAATGCCCTTTTTGTGAAAAACAAGTGGAAAACGGGCTGTTTTTCACAAAAACAGGGGCATTTCTGCCTTCCGCCATCCCTGCTGAAGCCCGCAGAGTGCTTCTGGGGGATGGGGGGAGGCAACAACGCCTCAGTTTTTGCGAAAAATGGCCCGTTTGTCGCAAAAATGGGCTGTGGAGGCGGGGCTTCGGGAGGCCAAAAATGGTTGTATTCAGTGTATAAGACGTACCAACATTTCCACGCTCTTTTAGGGAGAAAAAGGTGTGTCTTATACTCCAAAAATATGGTAATTAGGGGGTAGGGAAGGTATAGGGTTGGGGGTCCCAGTTTTCCTTCTACCACAACTCCATTAGGATTAAAACTGTAACTGTAACAATCCTTTATGGAGAAATCAGACTACGTTTGGAAACAAATGAACTGGTCCTAGAGTCCTAAACACTCAAAAACACAGGGTTAGTAGAGACCGTACTGTAGGCCATCTAGCCCAAACTCTTGCTCAGGTCAGGAATCCAAATTAAAGCATTCTGGACAAATGCCTATCCGGCCTCTGCTTGAAATAGCAAGCCCCAAGCTCACTACTCAGAATTAACCACTTGGGGGAAAAAATATTTCTCCATCGCACAAAAAGAAAAGGAAAAACAAGTTTTTCTACTTTGCAACCGTCCAATTGCATCCTAGCTTCTACTGCCTCGCAGAGTCAGGTGACTAGACTAACAGGGTCCGATTTCTCAAGAATTCAAGTATGAAGCTGCGACATGTAATCTCAATCGGTATTACATTACAGAGACAATGGGGCTATTCTACTACTTTCCCAAGGAACTAGTAGTAGGATAAACACGAACCTTCAGCTTTCAGGATCTCATCTGCCTCCACGTCTCCGTCCTTTTTTTCATCTGCACCCAGAGAGCCAAGGCAATCCAGTCCACCTTCACCATTAAGAATGCCTGGCCGCGCCATCATTGGTGTCATTGGTGTGTTTTTGCGCGGCCGACGCTTGTGCAATGGTGACAAAGACAAGTTACGTAGCACCGCCATGCCTGTCTCCGTTAACCAAACACCTTCAAAGCGAAAATACTGGGGCTCTGCATGGACAGGATAAAAGGAAAAGCTTGCTGGTACCTACCTGACTGCAAAGTAGATACATGCAATTTAAGGTATTTAAATTGAAGCAATTTACCTGGTTCCTTGATCTTCACTGGGATAATTTCTGGAGGGGGAACTGGAACTTGGAAGAAAGCAAAAGGCAAATCATTGCTGGGGGCAGTAAATCAATTTATTAATATGATTTGTATCCCTCTAGATTGGGGGGGGGGGGGGCTATGGCCCTTTTATGACTTGTGGACTTCAACTCCCAGAATTCCTCAGCCATGCATTCTGGGGGTTGAAGTCCACAAAGATCATAAAAGGGCCATAGATCCCCACCTCTGTCCTAGATAAATGTAATAAACGCAGACATCCCATTTTAAGTATTTTAAGAGCACACCTCATACCCAGCATCTCCCCTGTTCTGCTCCCACACACTATTCTGTATCAGTGACATCCAACCACATTCTATTCATTTCCAACTGCAGCAGTTTCAGCGTTGCCCTATTATACATGTGTTTTTATTCAATGCATGCTCTCAAAATGTTCTCCCCCAAATAATATTGCTGAAGCCATCATGTTCTGCTTCTTTCCCTCCTGTGCCCCAATCTCTTCAAGCCATTTAAAATTAACAATTATCTAGAGAACATCAGTAGCCCTTATTCCTGCATCTGAAACATCTGTCTTAAAGAAGACTTTGCAGAAGTGACAGTAGCTGGCAATCATCTAGATGGGGGTTATACTGTACGTGAAATAGATCCATTCTGCCAAGTCTCTTTCTTAGAATGGTTCCAGGTTCAAGAGAACTTTAATAAAGCATCCCCTCAAAATGGTCCATGGTGGGCTTAGTTTGTAGTAGGGAAGCTGACAGCTATGAGCACATCAGGCTTCTAGAGCAGCATTCTTAATTGCTTGCAAATATTTCAAAAATATTTATTTATATTATGGGAATCATTCCTAGATTCAGCCTCCAGGCAGTCTTCAAAGTATAATAACAACAATAACAAAAACACAGGGTAAGGCAAGGATCTGTTTATGCTTGCCAGAATACCAGTACACAAGCGTCTTAAAAAGGATGTTATAGAGATCTCATCTCCAGTCCTCTGTCCAATAGATGCTGCCCCTCCCTTTGGAAAAAAGGAAGGATCAAAAGGTTCACACCCGTTGCAGTACTCACCAACAGGCTTGACTACATATGGCTGGCATGAAGTGCAATCAAAGCCCTCGTCTGCTGCCTGTTCTACTTCATCCTCGCTGAAAAGGTTGTCACATACAGCATGCATCCACCTGAGAAACAGACAGTTAGAGAGCAGTAGCACCTGCACTCCTGTTTTTTGTGGATGTTGCTAATGTTAAATGCTAAACATAGGTGCTGCTCTTGCCTTAAATTTTGTCCTTCTAGGAGTTAGACTGTTCCTGCCATAAATCTTTTTGAAAGCGCAAGGCAAAAAGGAAAGGGCAAAGGGAAACACATATATGCACTTCAAGCATCCTAGTACATTTTAAGAGAGAAGGGAGGAAGCTAAAACATTTGAATCCTTGTTGCCAGTCCACACACTGCCACTCACATCTTTCATTATTCAGGTTACATCTCGCTCTGTTCTCCAAGAATAAGACTAAGTCCTCAAAGGACAAATAGACTGTAAAGGAAATGTTCTACAGATGTTTCCCAGAATGACCTCGACTACTGCCAGACAGGGGGACACTATGAAGGGATTAGAATTAATCCAGAATTAGGAGCCGCGTCAGGACACACCATAGCATGAACCTGTGGTTTCTCCAGGAAATAAACCCTAGTATTAGGAGCTGTCCTCAGAGAAGAGAGGCAGCCAGGAAGAACTGAATCGTTAAGTGCGATGAATTTTGATCAAATGATCATGGGACCCTATAATGCCTGTAATTTGGGGAACCGGTCATAATTAGCATATTAGTGAAGAGCTATAGATCAATCTTCCCTTTATTGGCAATTGCAATTTTCCAATATATCTTATGTATTGGATAAAAGCTTAGACTTATATACCATTTCACAGTGCTTTCCAGCCCTCTCTAAGCAGTTTATAGAGTCAGCATATTGCCCTCAACAATCTGGGTCCTTATTTTACTGACCTCAGAAGGAGGAAAGGCTGAGTCAACTTTGAGCCGGTCAGGATCGAACTCCTGGAGTAAGCAGAGAGTTAGCCTGCAGTACTGCATTCTAACCACTGCATCACCATAGCTCTTACATCATCCTTGCTCACATAAATGCCACACACTAAACTTTCTAGAGGTTATTTCCCTTTTTTCTCATTTTCATGGCTTCAATACACCTTCTCATCTGTGTCACTCGCCAATGTAATAATGCCAACAAGAATTTGTAATGAATAAGGAAAAAGAAATAAAGGAAAATTCTAGGCTATATTAGCATCCTTGAACTTTATCCTTTTGCAAGGTGAAATGTCCATGAGTATAGCAATAAACAAACTACCCTAAAAGGATGTTCCAGGAAACAAAACCGATGCCAGGATCCAAAAGTATTTCCATAAATTTAATACCACGATAAAATGGTAATACCAGGTGGGTCAAGGGATTAAGGCTTACCGTTCACAATGCTGACACTGGATTAAGAGGTCATCCTCAACATACTTCACGTGGCAGATGGGGCAAGTGACAAGACTGGCACAGGGAGCACAATGGGTGTAATTGCTCTGCCATTCACAGTGGAAGCCAGGTGAAACTGCTCCACACTGCACACAGCACACGCACCTGATAAAAGAGAGATGAGTGAATGATTACTGCTGCCTGTGAGATTCAACTTATTGCCCTCCTCGTCTCTCAGAAGAGAAAGCCAGAAATACTTTACAGTGGCAAAAAGAGCTCAGGAATTTTCTCTTCTACATTATAGGTGCCTGACTTCCAATTCTACTGGATGGGAACTACCATAATGCCCAGTCAGTAGAGCTGTCAGACTCCTGAATGCAAAATACTGTGTTTTTTGGAGTATAAGATGCACCAAGATTTTGAAGAGGCAAGTTTTTTAAAAAAGTTTTTGCACTCTGCAGATTTCCCCAAAACAGGCCATTTTTTGTCCCAAAAAAGGGCATGCTTAGCCTTTAGGAGGCTTATAGAGTGCTCCTAGGGGCTGGGGGGGGGCAAAAATGGCCTGTTTTTCACTCATTTTTGCCCTCCCCAGCCCCCAGGAGCACTATGGAAGCCTCCTAAAGGCTATGCACTGCCATTTTTACAAAGGGGACGGGGTTTCGGGAGGCCAAAAATGCTGTATTCAGTGTATAAGACGCACCCAGACTTTTACCTTCTTTTTTGAGGGAAAAAGGTGCGTTTTATACTCCGAAAAATACAGTTACATCATAATTACATAGTATGATGGACTAGCAGCGCCAGCACAACATGTAACGTGTTCACACTGGTGCAATAGGACTGGGTATTTGTTAATATAATTTATTGGGTTAGGGATTTTCTGTCTTCACTATGAGTTGTATTATGTTGGGGGCTGCACTTGAGGGAGCTCAACCAATCTCATTGTACATATGTACAACAAACAATACATAAATAATTTTAATTCATTCAGTACATTTCATAGTTGTGAGGATGGGTATTTATAAGAGTTGTAAATGCAGAATATCTGGAGGACATTAGATTGTGGAAATCTGGTTTTTCATTACAGTTTGCCACTACAAATTGTGCAACTATATATCAGAATGGTTTTTAAAAATTTTTTAATGGTCCTAGTAAATAAATAATGCATGGAGGTAATATTCTGTTTTTAGAAAATTGGAAGCATGTTATTGGAAAATATATATCTCATATTACTTTATAATGCAATTTGAAACATTTGATTTTATGTATAGCTGAAAATGTACTTAACCAGGAGTTAGGTACATTTTCAGCTAACATAACCGACCAGAATTCCTAATAAGATTCTTATGGAGAATTCAGTGTATCATTCAAGCACAAGAGCAAAGATTGGGAGAGGAAAAAAGGGTTTCATTATATTTAATTTCCACTTTATTTGCAGCAAACTATATCAACTTTGCATAAAATGTTAATGAAATACTATTAAAGCATGATTCAGGAAATAATCCAAAGCATTGTTCTTGCTTATGCTAAGCTACCACATGTGGATTGTGCTAAGACAACAACCCAAACAAATCCTATGATGGGTTAACATACACACAGTGTAATCTAAGCCCTTTGGAGCACCCTACAGAAATGTTGATCTGTCGCTCACCATTTACATTTCCAGCCACCCTTGGGCACAGTGTTGAGAGGTGGATCCAAGCAGTATGTGTGGTAGCTGATGTCACAATCATCGCAGAGCAGCAGGCGGGAGGGATCAGATGCTTTGCCACACACTTCACACACAATGCATTCCACGCAACGCCAACCCTTCAGCAACATCACCTTTGTAATCTTAACACAGAAAGAGAGGCAGACATGGAGAAAGGGAGGCCTACACATAGTCGAAAGACTGGTGGGTCCTGGTGGGAGAGGTTATTGAGAGCATACAGTGTTGCTTAACTGGGACCCAAGACATATGGACTGCAGAACATCTGGCACTCCTCTGTGTCGATGGGTCTCAGCCTTGCCTGCTAATAAGGTAAAGGTAAAGGTTCCCCTGGCACATACTGTATATGCTAGTCCTTCCTGACTAGGGGGCGGTGCTCATCTCAGTTTCAAATCCGGAGAGCCAGCACTGTCCAAGGATGTCTCCCTGGTCATGTGGCCGGCATGTTACCTTCCCACCAAAGGTGGTTCCTATTTTTCTACTTGCATTTTTACGTGCTTTTGAACTACTAGGTTGGCAGATACTGGGTAAAGTAATTGGAGCTCACTCCGTTACGCAACACTAGGAATTCGAATCACTGAACTGTTGAACTTTCTGATCGACAAGCTCAGCATCTTAGCCACTAAGCCAGTGTCCCTTTGCCTACTAATAGTGTAGGACACAGGATCTATTAGCCCGTGAGTGAGGAGGGTGGAAACTGCAGTGCAATAACAACGGGATGGGGTGTTTGGGACCCACTGCTTGTAAATTTGTTGCATGACTACTCTCCCATAGGGTTTACTACACTATAGATTAGCATAGATAAGCTCTTGAAGTTTGCTAACTGTGCAAGAAATAGAAAACAGGGCAAAAAAAATCACTTATTTATAAATTTAATTCATCACCCATTTTTAAAAAAAAGTTATTTCCTAATCAATTCCAATGACACAATAGATCGTTCAAATTCTAGGGATGTAATGGAACTTCCACAGGCCAGGATGATAAGTTGACAGGTACCCAGAGTTTCCTTAAAAAATATATATATCCCCATTCCAATGTGGGATCCTTGGGGCTTCCTGAGCTTGGTGCCGATGATGTTACCTAATGTGATAATGAAATGAAATGAAAACAACCAAGCTCAGAGAGTCTCAAGGACCCCACAGTTCAATCCTTAGCTACAAAAATTCTCTATTCTATTGGTATCCCAACCCAATCTTTCCTGCATACTATTAGTTCTCTCCAAACACCCCAGTCCCCAAACCCATGAGAAACCAAATGATAACTACCACACTTCAGAAATGGAATCCTATTTTTCAAAACTTCCCTCCTCTGATATCTTCCAGATTGCTGGATTCTAATCCTCGTCCTTGGTTTGCCACTTTAGTTATGGAAGAAGGATGATGTAGTCCACGATATATTTAGACAGATGGGCAGATCTGATTGCATTGCCTAACTAGGGATGTGTTGGGTAGCATTTTGGGGGGGGGGGAGGAATTTTGGGGAAGAAGAGTAGCTAAAATCAGGTCTTACCTTGCTGTTTACACAATAAGGATGGTAACACTGAGAACATTGAGAACAAGCCAGGAGATGGCCCTCTGCGCCACGGCCAAAACTACCACACACTACGCACATATCCTATCCAGGAAAGGAGAAAAATCAGGATGAGAACAATCAGATCTCCCCAAGCCTAGGGAAAGCGTCTACATATCTACCCTCACTTTTCAGTTACTCTGCCTACTCTATTGATGGAAGGTACTGTGTTTCCCTGAAAATAAGACAGGGTCTTATTTTCTTTTGACCCCTGAAATAAGCGCTTGGCCTTATTTTTGGGGAGGTCTTATTATTTTTGAGGTGCAGGAGGCAGCGAGCATGGTGACCTCATGGCTGCTGCTGTGTTACAATATTTTCGGGGGAGGGCTTATTTTAGCACATGCGCTCAAAAGCCCGATTGGGCTTATTATCCGGGGAGGTCTTATTTTCAGGGGAAGGCTTATTTCAGCTCATGTGCTCAAAAGCCTGATTGGGCTTATTATCTGGGGAGGTCTTATTTTCAGGGAAACAGGGTACTAAAATACAAAAGCTCCTGATATATTTTGGATAACTTAAGAAATACTGTACATTAAATATTCAATATGAGGATTAGCTGGAAAATCATACCCAAAGTCCATTTTAGTGGGTAGTATTTATTATAATCAAGTAAGGCTTAAAAAGAAGCACTAAAGAGCAATGGATTGAATTGAGATGATGCTTTAAGCAGGAAGTTTCAATAATATTCGCTAACGCAGCAGCCTGAGAAACTAGCATTAGCTTTAAAAACTGGCTTTCAACAAGCGTTTAGGCTAAAATTGGTTTCAAGAAAATCTAGGACCAGTACTATAAGTTGCT